GACTAAATTTTGATCCCTGAAATTCTTGGTAATACCAATGTTCACTTTGTCTGGTTTTGTTGCAGCATGCCCCATATAATACTTACAATCTATGAAATAAAAAAACAAATTAATTAATTAGATGTTTATTTAGTTGTTATAAAAGTTAAATTGTAATATAATACTTACAAACTGGTTATTATAAAGAAAAAAAAATTAATTAATTAATTAGAAGATGTTTATTTTGTGTTGTAAAAGTTAAATTATAATATAATACTTACAGTCTATGAAATAAAAAAACAAATTAATTAATTAGAAGATGTTTATTTTGTGTTGTAAAAGTTAAATTATAATATAATACTTACCCGTTGGTCATTATAAAGAAATAAAAAAACAAATTAATTAATTAGAAGATGTTTATTTTGTGTTGTAAAATATTTATTTACCTTTATAGAATTTAGCTATTATTTTATTATAAAGCAATATATTAAATCATAATGTAAAAAATACTACATATTTTTAAAATAATTATTTTCTGTGTAAGAAAAAATACCTTCATTCATTTTAGGAGCAAGAATTTCCCAAGACTGGTGTGTTTATTCCTATTTAAGAAATTGTATTGTATTTGTATGTGATTGACAAATAATAATAATTATTGTTTGATGCATAAATTTTTTATTTATATATAGTGCGACGACAAATTTGAGAAAAAATTTCCCAATCAAAAATGCAATAAATTTTTTAAATCACGTGAATTTCAGTAAGCTGTTAGGTCACATGATTATTTACGATCAATCCATAAATGGTATAAATCGGCAATAATTATTCCAACTTTTTATTTTCAGGATTCACAAATTCCCGTTCCAAAATTTAAAAATAAAAATAAAATGCACGGAGCAAAAAAAAAATAGTGTACGGAATCTCTACTGACTGATTAATGGTGAAATAATAATTTGGAAAAATATTTCACTGCCAAATATGGTAAAAGAACAGTACAAAAAGAATGAAAAAAATATTTTTGCTCAACAATGACTAGACAGTGAATATCCAAAAGAGAAGAAAATATTAGAAAGGAAAAAGGAAGATATTATCAAGTTGAATCTATGAGGTTATATCAACCATTTATATCAAGCTTTTCTGATTTTATTAATATAAATGGAAAAATCGTAAGAATCTGGATGTTAATAATGATAATTCTCAATCAATTGCACAATCTTGAAAAATTTAGAAAATTTATCTACAGTGCATGAGGATGAATTAGACCAGGAATTAATGGAAGTACTCAATAATTGTATTATTCTGATAAATAGATGGTGATAGAATTTTATCTAGTGTTCCATGTCGCAATCCAAAAAAGGAAACCAAAGTGGTCGCAAAGTGGTTGCAACCATCACCAAGAATTGCGACCAGCATCTATAATTTTATCAGTATTAAATGAAACATTACCAATAAATTTAGTCAATAAATTTACTTGTGATGAAGGGTTGGAGAGGATTCAAACATTTAGCAATAATTTGTAAATGCGGTGAAATTTCTAGAAAGTGGCGGAAGAAAAAAATATCAAGATTTAAGGTTTTAATAATTAAAATTATTTTATAAATTAAAATGTTATCAGTGAATAATGTGGTGTGGAAGGGTTAATTTTGTTTTGTCATAATATTAATATTTATTACTTTATGGATTTATGATTTCTAGTATATATTTTTTTTTAATGCAAGAAATTGTTAGTTTTATTTATTTAAAAAATACAAAGTTAAATAATTTCCTTATGTTATGAAAACTTTACCCACATGTATAAGCATCTTAACCGATCTTAGCCCCACCTTTAAGTTTGTTTTATTATTAGTAAATAAAAATTGCACATATGTGCTTTTAAAAGAATTGTATTTTGAATTTTGAGGGTGGCTACCTTGCTATTTCAGATGATGTATTGAATCCGCTGGATGTATCTTGTTCTGCGTTAAGATATTGAAATTGGAAATTGGGTATTCTACTTCTTATATAGACCATGACAAACTTTCTGAAATATCACGGGTATATATTAGTATTGATTGTACAAACAGGAGAATTGTAAATCATTCATTACGAAAAATATGCTCAAAAACAAAATGACGAAGAATTGGATTCATAAGCTGTAATGTAACATTACATTGATATCTAGAAGGATTAAAAAATAAGCAATTATGATCATATCGATTTTAGTTGGCTTTATTATTATTTAATTATTTTATTTTATTTATATTAACTTTGTGACATCTAATTTTGCATTTCAATATGATTCTCACTACTTCGGGGTGCAGAAACTTAAATACATGGTACGGTTTTTGTGGATAAATGGGCAAGTTCCTGGCGAGCAATAACAAGTTCACCACTACTGTGAATAAACTGATCAGCACCAATTTAATTTTTAGTTATCAGCATTACTAAGGATGATGTCAGGATAACCTTGGTTTGTGAAAATAAAAATGGAACCTCCAACTTTCTGTCTTTGCATGAGGAATGGCCTTTTATTATTGATAGTATCCATCGTTTCTAAGAATAGGAAACTGTCAATTGTTCATCATGCACCCAACCTCTTTCAATGGTAAATGGTGCTTGTTTATTAATTTGAAAATGGTACATTTAAAGCATTGGTAATAACAGTCACAAATGGTTTTTCTTAACTATGCTAATTGATGCAATTGTATGAATTTTATAAGAATGGGCGAACTTTTCAGGAAAATTCTTATTCGTAAGAAATCCTGATAGTAAATTAAAATAAAAAACAATTAAAAAGTGAGATGACACGGATGAGAGTAACCAAAATGTTTGCATCTTACAAATTGAGGTAACCAAATAGGAGAACAAAGGTTGGTAAACATCGCGTAAAGGGTATAACAAAACACAAGCATTCTAGTTATGATGATTTCTTTAATTACCCTCCAAAGATGCATGCATTAAAATATGTCCAATTTAATTTACTTTGTTGATAGTTTAACAGATTTCAAACAATTCGCTTCTTGTTTCTGCAATTCCTTGAATCATTCTGTAAAATTAGTAATAGTAAATGATTCAAATCAATTTTTTCTATTCACTTCAAGATTACTAATTTTCTTTTTGATTTTGGCACAAAACAAATCCGAATTTAACGCAGCTGCTCCAATTATTTTTTATTATTTAAATATAAAGAAACTCTTTTTCTTTTTTTTTCATGTTGACTTGTAAATCACAAAAAGATAATGTTTGGATTGTTCAATACCATTTACTAGTCTTTTTAGGCCTAAACAAGGGGCTTAGTTAACAACGCTATTTTAAACTTGTGGCTTATCACTGTTAAAAAATTCGACTGCACAATTGATAAATAAATTCTGAAATTTTCCATAAATTCATATATAATAAGTATAGGATGTGTAAAGGCTACTTTTTTTTTTGATGAGGAATTAATTTGTTTATTCTTTTTTTAATTTATAATTGATATATATTTTTTTAACATTTATAAAAAAAAATAATTAATATCTACGATTTTCATTGGTTTTGTTCAAATAATCTTCTCTCAAAGATGTTGTTGCTCTGTTCAGACCGATAATGGTATGGGTTTTGACAAAACGGTCTTCAAGAAATTCTATGGTAGAAAAGAATTTTCAGATTGGTGACGTTATCCAAGCAGTAGGGCGATTAAAACCCTCGAGGAAAATTCAAGCCATGTACATGTTGATAGATTCATTGACAATTAAAATTGTTGTTTTTGCATTATTAAATTTTTTCATGTACTTTCCAGTTAAAAATTATACAATCAACCAAGTTTTTCGCTGGTGATTATGATAATAGTGACGATGACGGTGATTACGATAATGGCAATGATTATAATTATGATAATAACAATAATGATAACAATGGTACTCGTGATCAATAATGGCACCAGCTATCATGTGGTAACATGAATAACTGCCTCTCTATTCATATGCGCCCGCACCCGTTAATGACACCCATAGAAAGGATGAATCATTGGTTTCATGAAGAAGACATATAACGGAGCTATTTGAACAAAAATGTTTGAAATAAATATATTGGCATCAACTCGAGATAAAAATAAATTAGAAAAATAGGAGCTTTTTTTCGAGGTGTGACGCACTTGTTTTGCATCACTAACAGGGTCAAATTTGGCCCCTGAAATTTTTCGCTCGACATTAATATATATAACAAATAATAATAATAATAAGCAAAAAAATTTGTGACAAACAATAGTTAAAAATATATATATATATATATAACAATAATAAGAAACAATTGTAGTAGTAATGTCTTTTTAATTATTTAATTTAAATATCTAATAATCTTATATAATAGAGTGTATTTGTAAATACTTTGTTTTACATTATAAATATGAAAAAATATTCAAAAATTCCGATAATAGTAACAGAAGATGTTGAATTGCCAAATATATCACCAAAAAAAACGCATAAAAAGAAAATTAGCGATAGATTTGATGAGGTTGAGGAAAATATACTATATAGTATTATAGGAAATCATAGTAATAGTAATGGATTTAGTATTGGCGAGGATGATACTGAAAATGATTTCGGTGATAATGAACTTCTTTTGGAAAGAAATAAATCTTATTTAGACATAAATGATTTTTATCCACATGAAAACTCCCCAATACCCATGGTTGCCGCGGTAATTATTTGATTGTTGATTTGGTGATTTTGTTATTTATTATTTTTTTTTTATTGTCATTTATTTCATTGTGTAGTTATTTATTTATTTCATTATTTATTTATAGGCTGTTAGTACAAAAGATGATCCATCCCTACAATCGATAACGTTTCGTTTTTGGGTACTTAGTACGGTAATTAATTAATCAATTAATAATCAATTGATTGATTTTCTTTGGTTAGAAATTTCAACTAATCAATAATAATGATAATAATAGTTTTTCACAGTGCTCGGTGCAGCAATATCTCAGTTCTACTACTTTCGTTCAAATGGTGGTGGATACTCTGTATTCTTTGTATTGTTAGTATCTCATGTTCTTGGTAAATGGATGTCTAATGTTTTGCCAACAAAACAATTTCAAATTTATAATTGGAAATTTTCATTAAATCCCGGTATGTTATGATAATTATTATTTTTTTTTTTATCAAATGAATATTATATTTATATATTTGAAATTATAGGTCCATTCAATATAAAAGAGCATGTTTGTATAGCAGTAGCTGCTGCCGCAGGTGGTGGCACGGCATATGCAACAGTTAGTTTCATTTTAATTAATCGTTTAGTTAAGATTAAGTTTGAATTCACCATCAATAATAATAAAGAAAATATATTTCTCACAATTTATTAGGATATTATTGCTATACAGCAATTATTTTATGGGGACAATGCTAATTTTTTACTTGGAATTTTACTATTATTGAGTACTCAGATGATTGGATATGGATTAGCAGGATTTTTGAGAAAATGTAGGTAGATTGATTGACAGATAGAAATGAAAATAAAAATCTGCATTTTACTATATTCTTTAACAATTTTTTTCTCTACCTTTATAGATCTTGTTCGTCCAGCTAATATGTTGGTATGTCTTTTGTTTTGAGATCTACAAGATAGTAATGTAGCAATATACCAATTTAACAATAGTACTGATTGTTACTACAGATTAATTAATATTATCATCATTACACAATTAATGAACCATAATTAATCAATCAATCACATACTTTATATATAGTGGCCTTCAAATTTAGTATTCGCCAGTTTATTCACAACACTACATGGAAACGTTAATGACACGAGAGATAAATTAAAGTTTTTTTATATAGCTTTCATCCTAGTATTCTTTTGGCAATTTTTTCCACAATACATATTCACATGGCTTACCTGTATATCCTTGTTGTGTTTAATGGTACCAATGAATGAAAGTATCGTTAGATTTGGTAGTGGGTATCAAGGATTGGGTTTTTTGACTTTTTCGTTGGATTGGAATGCTATTGGACAAACCGGTCCTTTATATACTCCATGGTGTGTATTTAATTTAATGTACACCACACACTCACGTGTGCGGGTTTGTATATTTTCTTATGATTACGAATATATATGTCATATTAATACATTGATTTGTTTTGTTGTTTAGGTGGGCACAAGCTAATTTTTTTTTTGGTGTTATATTAAGTGCATGGGTTATTGCTCCAATATTATGGTACTCCAATGTTTGGTAAGAATATCTAAAAAAAAATTTTATCCTTTTTTTTTTTTTTTATGAATGATTAAATTAAATATTAAATTTTATTATTATTATTATTTAGGGATGCTCAAAAATTTCCATTATTGGCAACATACTCTTTAAATAAAAATGGTGAAAGGTATATATATATATATATATATATATATATATATATATATATATATGTATATGATAATAAATTTACCCTGATATGCATTCAACAACATTTAATCGATTAATTAATTAATTCAACATTAAATTATTTTTTCTGATAAAAATCATACAAGATATAATCAATCGGCAATAATAGATCAAGAAACTGGTTTTTTAGATGAAGTAGCATATAGTAATTATGGGCCTGTATTTCTAAGTGTCACATTTGCGGTTGGATATTTCTACTCTTTTATAGGTTTCTCGTCAGCTATCAGTCATGTTATGTTATTTTACGGGAATGAGATTTGGAGTAGGTTTAAGGCTAGCAGACAGGAAGGTGAAGATATTCATTGTAGAATGATGAGAATTTATGAAGGTTGGTGATTAATATTGATCGGAAGAGAAAGAAGAGAGAGAGATAAGAGAAAAGAGAGAGTAAAAATTGTGTTAATTTGTAATTTATGAAACTTTAGAGATACCAAACATATGGTATTTTAGTATATTTGTAACAATGTTGACAATTGCAATCACAATTTGTTATGTGTCTGAATCAAATTTACCATGGTGGGGACTATTATTGGCTGTAGCTCTTGCTTGTGTCATGGTGCTGCCAATAGGTGATTATTATTATTATAACAACAAAATCGTTGTTGATAACCAATAATTAATTATTTACTTTTAACACAATAGTAATGTTATTGTTCTTTTGTTATTTTTTTAGGTGTAATTCAAGCAATATCAAATAGCCAAGTTGGTCTTAATGTTATATCTGAAATGATTTGCGGGTGAGCAATTTTAAATCATAAATTATTTTTATATTCATATAGTTACACAATATTAATTTATTACCATCATCACTATTAGGTATATATTTCCAGGCAGACCAATAGCCAATGTATATTTCAAATCATATAGTTATATGGCCATGTATCAATGTTTATCATTTGTTTCAGACTTGAAACTGGGTAAATAATAATAGCAACAATTGTCATCATAATTATCATAAGTTAAATGTATTTTTCCTATATATTATTATCTATTTATAGGACTATATATGAAAATACCACCAAAAGCATTGTTTGTGGCGCAAGTATGGGGAACTTTTGTAGGAGCATTTATAAATTATTGGACACTACAACTTATTTTAGATTCAAAACGTGATTTTTTGGATGGTACCAGACGTGATCCAACTGGTCAATGGACTGGTTACCGATCTCAAGTTTTTAATACTGCTTCAATTGTGTGGGGGTTAATTGGACCTGCTAGAACTTTTGGAAGTGTAATTATCAATCAATCAGTTAATCAATAATTTTTAATTAATTGTTTGTTCTATTTATTTGTTAATTTTTCAAAAATTTTTTTTAGGACTCAATGTATCATATTATGTTATGGGGCTTCTTAATAGGATTTCTATTACCATTCCCAATCTATTTACTGCATCGAAGATTTCCAAATGCAAAACTTCGTCTAATCACTGTACCCTTGATTTGTCATGGTTTGAGTATAATACCTGGCACATATACCAACTTCATAATTATGGGATTTATGGCTAGCTTCTTGAGCCAATTTTGGGCATACAGGTATCACTATAAGGTAAATAAATGATTATGTGTATGTTTGTGAGGGAATTGAGGTTTGTTTTTGTTATACAATATATATATATATATTAATTAATATTTACCTATTTATTTATATGAATTTTTTTTTTTAGTGGTGGTCAAAGTAAGCAATAATCCAATTATAAATAAAATGAATAAATATTACAATAATTTATATTTATTAATCTTTTTATTTGTTTGTTTCAATATTGAAAATAGATATAATTATGTATTATCAGCTTCACTGGATAGTGCGTCACAAATTGTTACTATGTTTATTTTCTTTTTATTGAGTGGTTTAGTTGAGGTAAGTAGTCAGTCTGTCATTAAATAACTAATCTAACTTGAATTAATCAATCTTATCGTGCCAATTAATCTAATTAATTAACAACTCTACGTTTTTTATGGTATAGATACCGTTTCCGGAATGGTGGGGAAACAATCGAGAATCACAAGGTGAAAGGTGTTTTTTGCCACCAGGTTCATCAAAAATTTGATAAAAAACATACCCAATTTTTATTTATATATAATTATTTATACAATTGTAAAATTTTGACATGATTTAGAAGAATTTATTTTTGTTATCCAGTGCTAAATTAGCACAACTTTCTACACAAAAATGATTCATTAATATTTTATTATAAAGACTAAAGAGTAATTTTAATATGAAAATAATTTTTAAAGACAACGATTTTAGGCTAAAAAGTCAACTTGACAAAATCTTCTTTTTGGGTTGATTAACAGCATTCATATTAAGCCAATAATTTTTTTGGAATTTTATTAATTAAGAAATGGAGTAACGAATGCTGAAAAATCGTGCTGAATTAGTAATGTAAAATGATTCCACATATTGACCAAAATTAACTTTGCAGCTAATATTTAAAGAATTAATTTTCGTGACGTGCCATTACTATATTAATATATTTATATGGGGCACAATGCAACAAAGTAACTATCTCAGCGGAGTATTGTTATTGTTATTATTATACTTATCCCTAAATAAAAATTTGATTAAAGAAAAACGTTGTTTAAACAAACACAACAGTCATCAAATTCTAATGCACTCTGGTTAACTATGAACGGAAATAAGTATTTATTCATTGTTAACACTTGTAAAAATAAGCTCGTGATAGTTATCATATGCCACTATAGTGTAAACAATTCAAGTTCAAGTTCAAAGCTTCACCCTGGAAAGGAAACATTTAAACATATATAACGTAATAGTAACAAATAATAATGATAGATCATATTTATAACAGCTCTCCAGTCTCTTCTATGTATTCAAACTTTTTGTTATAAAAAGACTACTGATCATCGATGAAAAGTTATCATTGTTAGTAATGGAATTGTGATCAAAAAATTCAATCTCATAAATTTTGATTATAAGAGAAAAGACGATACATGGTATTGAGAATTCTCTTTCATTGAGGGATTACCTAGACAAAATAACGTTTCCTTAATCTGATATTGTGCTTTACATCATACTAACAATAAAATGTCACCTTTAACATAAATTCGAGCATGGATGAAATAATATACAGAGCGAATCAGATCGCAGAAAATATGATTTACTATTACTATATAATAAATTACAAGAGGGAAGGCTATAAGTTTGGCAACCAAATCTCAAGTTGTATTCCAAGTTTGATAAACTATAGCAACCCTTTAACTATGAATCCAAAAATCATTATTTTCTTTAGCCAAGAAGATTCTTTCTTCCTCAGTTTCTTGGTGTCGACTATTAATCATTTCATCATATTCACATTGGAATTTATCATATTTCAGATCCGTTCTTCTCAAGTGCTGTTTAAAGGAAAAGTTAGATTTTTTCATAATGGCTACCCGATTGACTATACCATCATTAAAAAACTTGCCTCGAATTGATAATTGTCAAGATAGTAATCCTGCAACATTGTTTCCAACATTTGAACACGATTTTCCAATGTTGCATTGTTGCGCCGGTTTGATACTCTTTGTGCCAGAACGATTCCTGAAGATGTGACATATCGTTTTGCTAGTTTTGCTTTTAAGCTTTAGCATAAAAATGACAGATTAGACAAGCCAACAACTCATTTAATTAAAATGGTTAACAATTTAAATTACCTGCGTCTGCAAATTTTGCATCTTAGCACATATTTTTGAATAATACCCCTGTGAATGCACAAACATTAGGCCGGAACTATTCGGTAATGCATCATTTAAAATGTGATTAAACAACTCATACATACCATGGAGATAGTTTTGGCATTCCAAATAATAAAACATACATTGAATTCAAAGCAACATAGAAACCACCAAGATTGGCTATTGCATTCCCAACTTTGATAATTTTTGTTAGGGTGATTTTGATGCAATATACAGTCAAACATTAAAAATCTAAAAAAAAACTTACATGTATGTTCAAAACTTTCTGTCTCGTAAGTAAGTTTCCTAGATGCACTTATGCCAAATTGAATGTTTCCTTCGTTGTTGAGCTTTGGAAGGCTTTTAATGGCATAATTTAAATAACAGGTCTCATCATATGATCTAAAACTCCAATAATCATAATATATATAATTTCTTTCAATCTTTGGAAAAATCATGATACTAGAAACATCTTTGGGTTTAAAAATAATAACTCCGTCAGCAAAATCCCTACTCCAGCAATCAAAGTAGTATTTAGTGGAAGTATGAATATTCACATTCTTAAATATGACATATAACTGTTGATCTGAAATGTAGTGAGTAGAGTCATATGGATCAAAATATTCTTTTCGGAAGAAAAAATCCTTATAACTTTCAAAAGAAGTGTTGGTTGAAGAGGACGTGGAATTTAAAGTAATGTTAAAAAATATATTATTATAATAACCCGACAAAATGTTATACGCTTTGCAGTTTTTGGGGACTCTTTCACTGATACTTGTACAATTAACATCCTCATATCCATCACTAATAATGCAGTCAGTATTCAATTGCTTGTTAGAGGTGCAGAGGTAGGCTTCTATTGGTTTATTAATATTGGTTAAGTGAATATTCAAATATCAAATTTCTGTGCTATACATAAGAAGTCTGGCGTTCATACCTGCGGTGAATATTTTAATGAGACTTTGAGTTGCTTTAATACTGGTCTCTCCATTATATAATAGTACATAATGAAACTGCATGTTTGCGTAATATAAAATTGAAACTGCCAAACCAGCTGCAATCAAAAGACGGATATTTTTAAACCAGCGAGGTTCGGTGTTCTTACTGTTAAAAATTGCATCATAGAGAAACATTTTCGATGTATTGATATTAAACTTGTAATGATTATTTCTGGGAGACTTTGTCGTTTTTATTTATTATATAATTTAAATGTTAAAAATATTAAAAGGTTATCAATAATGTTTGTAAAAAAAACTTCAAGTTTAGTAAATATAGAAAGTCAATGCAGCCTTATTAATATTATGAATAAATTGTACAACATAGTGATATTAACAATAAAGGAAACTTAGTTGCTACTTTCAAGCTTCATTTTGACTTTTCTTCAAAATGGTCTTTGCGCGGCGTTTGTTCACGTTGGCTTTTCTAATTTTGCTTATTGGTGAATTAGGCTTTTTAATATATCTAGCACGTCTAGCATATCTAGGTTATTATTATTTTCATTATTATGATAAATCTTATGATGATTATTATCAAGCTTTTTGGGTGTGGATTTCCACCATTGTGTTGGTGTTAATGGCGGGATTAATTGTTGTAGGTTATTTATTTTCTTAATAACAATTAACAACTTTTCTAGACAAATAAATACAAATATTTTCTTTTAAAGCTTTTTTCAAAAACTATATTGCATGCCCTCGCCTTCTGGCTCTCAAACTTTATGCCTATTATATTTTCAATTATGGTCTACGTTGAAGAAACAAAAGGTCGACCATCTGATATTATTGCTACAGAAAAAATGGCACACCTTGTTTCAATTATAGTGTTTCCTATCCTTCAGTTTCTTTATGGTCTTTGTATTGGCACATTGTGGCAAAAAGGGTAAATGAAACCAATTATATGAAAAATTTATTGATTTGTTTTATCAATATAAAAGCTGAATTATTTCAAATAGATACTGGAAATTTCAAAGAAAATCAGAATACGGCTTTGATATTAACGCAGAATCAAAAAGTAAACACATTAGAAATTTATATTAAAAATGTATTTTTTCATAAAATACTTATTTATTTATCATGTAGGTTTATACTCTATGTACCAACGTGAATTGATTCTGTACCAATTTACAGTTGTCTTTATGCTCACTAAAATAACAACTTCCTTTGATTTGGATATTTTGATGTCACTGTATTTGAATATTTCGGCGCTCCTTATGTATTTGATATCTCCTCTTATCTTCTTACTCATTATAGGGGTATGAGCTTTTGCAATTTAATTCTTTTGAATAATTAAATCATCTTAATATTAACTCAGAATTTTCTTTTTTCTTGAAAAGATTCAACAAGAATCTCAGTGCATTGTGTACATCGCACAATGTTTTGTTGTTATTTTTGGTGCTATAATTGGTTTGGATTTATTTCAGTATCGTCATGCTTTTGCTACTTACAATATCCTTTTAGGCATGTTTACTAGCATATAAAGGTTATAAATAAATAATTTTCTTTCTGACCAAAGAGACTTACTAATCAGATTTTTTTTTTCACTTTAGATTTCATCTGTGAAATTTTGCTTATTTTATTGTTCACACACACAATCCAATGGCAACGCAACTTTAAGAAAGGCTTGAAATTAATTTGTATGTTTTTAAGGTTGTTCACCACTTCATATTTATTATAGTGATTGATTGATTCATTTGTTTTAGTGAGTTATGAACCCAAGCCAAAAGAATATAATTATGATGAAGAAGAAGAGCTACTGGATAAGAAGAATGATGAGAAACTGCCAGAAAATTTCTGGGATAAGAAAGACTTTTCAATTTGTAAAGAATGCTTGGCATATTGGAATGTATTTTGGAAATCATTTTGTAAAATTCTTCGTATTTTAGACTAATTGTGTGATTTATTAAATGCCAATCTTTACTTAGATATCATATTAACAAATATTAATAAATATAACAAAGTTCATTTAAAATTCTTTTATATTTTACAATACAGTTTACTCTCCCTATAACGGTCTTTTTTTGCGGGCCGTTATAGAGAGAGACTGTTATAGAGAGTTTGCAGATCATAGTCATGTGATAAATTATAATGTGATATATACAATATAAAGATTTTTATCAAAATTAAGCAAAAGGATGCAGATTTTCAATAATCTAAAATTGTTAAAATTGTCCTCATTTTTTAATTTTTTAATTCTGATTGTTGGTCGAGTAAAATATGGTCTTTATATACGGTTTGAAATGTTTATGAAGTCATAAGGAGGTTGACTTTTCTTATGTCATGTTTACAAACAATTATTACAGCAAAACTTATGAATTAACATTAAATTCATAGAGTAAGTCATAATGACGTTCTTCTTTTTATGATCCTTCAAATACGAATAATATATTGTAACTGCAAAAGGATGGCGATAGATATGAAGTAATGTTGACAAATGTATTTATGTTTGCAATAATAAATGTATTGTGACAATAAACGCGCGTTCGAATTATTAATATTAATATTAATAATTGAGCGTTGCACACTAAATTTCTTAACTTGGTAATGACTACCTCAGATCATGATCGTCGACCGTTATAGACAACATATAAAACATATGAAACATATGAGAGAATTTTCAGAGGCAGACCGTTATACACTATAGGAAATTTAATTAAGAAAACCGTTATAGAGTAAGGTTTTTATATAGTAATAATTTGGGTTCTGATTCACAGTGTGTTATAGAATGGAGGCCGTTATAGAAAGGGCCGTTATAGGGAGAGTAAACTGTAAATAGTGTCATAATGGCTGGAAACTGTCTTATTAAAAAGATTGATTTCATATAAATTCCTCCTATTAATGGAATATAGTTTTTCCCAGCCTTGACTAAAAACTTTGATGAAATTAAAAATCGTTAGAAACAACAACAATAATTAAAGTCGTATTGTATTTAACCAAAAATTTCATAACTTCACCCCTGTAAAAAATTTACTCCATGATTAGCCTCAGTGTTTTTTCCGTTACAGTTATTAAACTCGGTATTTTCTCCGTTTATATTAATACAGTATACTGTATGTTACAAATTATTACTATTACATATTAATACACTACCCGGACAAAAGTATGTGAACGATGTTTTTTGTTAATTACGCAAAATACTACATAATAACAACACATAAAATTTTAATATTATACGGCCTA